CCCTTGTTTAAGCTTGCTTCCACTTCTTCCATTTTGCTAATACACCAAGAATGAGGTATTTGAGGCACTCACAAACTCGAGAAACACACACAAAGGATTTTAGGGTTTTAGGGACACTTGAGAGTGATGGAGGCTAACTAGGGTAAGGTCCAAATGACTTAAGGGTGTTTAAATAGGTCACAAGTCCGAAGATTAGGGTTTTGGCCATCTGCCATGTACGACCCACGTACCCTCTCGTACGCCCCGCATACACGGTGCACCTTCGCGATCATTCTACCTCATTATGCTATGTGTACTCTTAAGTATGCCTATCATACAAAAAGAGTCCATTATTGCAAAATAAATTCATTTAAAGGGAAAAAAGTGATTACTTGGTTTGAAGTGTAACAATTTGTAACATATATAGACAAACAAAAATTAACATAATAATTATAAATTTTGTCAAAAAGATGTAAACAAATGAATTAGCAATCATATGATTTTAACAAATTTAATATAACACGTAAATAGTAAATGTAATGTTTAATTTAATTAACAAATGCTTGGAAGTTCATACTTTCAATTTGTGCAATCCATAAAGTAGAATGTGAGTATTAGTATTTTTCTAAAATTTCACTTATTAAAAATTTCATTTTTTTTTATCATTAGTATTAACATACTAGTGAATTGTAATTTATAAGATTAATATGAAAAAACTGAAAATATCATAATCTTCATTTTTTTTTTTTTTGTCATTTTTATTCACTTTCCAAACTTTATCCCTTATCTTGTCATATTTCAATTTCAAAGACGAATTATCAACATTGCTCTTTAATTCATCATATTTCAAGATCTCAAGAACAATAAAACAACCTGAACATTTAAGAAGATGAGAGGTCAAATTAGTAGAGTTGCAAAGAAAGGAGACACGGTCGCTAGAGATGAGCTGAAAATTGAAAAGGAGTATAGCTGGAAATGGTGGAGCAACGGTGGTAGTATTCATTTTAGGGTTTTCACCCTTCTTGAATTTCTTTTGATATTTTTTTACCTCATTTTTCTAAATTCAACATTTGTTTTGATAAATTATACCTGCATAGTTTATTTATAAAAAAAATTGTTTATTTTAAATAACCAACATCTATATAAGTTTTGATTATATTTTTTTTTTTGACAAATAATGAATTGAATCTATAAAGGTTATTGATTTTTTTTTTTGGGTGGGATAAGATGCGCAATTAAACTATACAAATTAAATTTACGATATAACTGATCATTATGTTTTTTTTAACCGATTTCCATACAAATTAATTTGCAAAATATATTACCAAATAAAACAATACCGATATCAATTTTTGTTATCCCGCCATAAATTTTCATTATCCCGCCCCTTCACACGATTCCCAAGCTACTATCTGCTTCTACAACTTTGAAAACCACCGATGGCAAACACTCACTCTCTAAATCAACATGAAATCGAAGTTTTCTGGCTGCTATATTCAATGAAGAAACGCTACGTATTGCTGTAAGATTTCGACTAAAACTCATTTTTTGTATCAAGTTTTGGAATCCGTTTACGTGACTTGAATTTCCGATCCACTGTATGTTTATTTCAAGTAATAACTTTCGCACTCAATTTTAGTTGATCACAATCGACTCACTGTTTGTTCATTCAGCTAGACTATTTTCTTGATTCAAACTTAACCCACTTCTATTCTCAATCTTAACCCCGTATTGTTGTTTCATTTTTTCATAATCAATCTCATTTGCAATTGTTGATAAGTTTCAAGTCATGTGGGCAGTTCTTATTGCTGGAAAATGGTGAGTGTTAAGGGTTATTTCATTATGCCTTCCAAGTGTTTGATGTTATGCCTAAAGGACTAGATCGAAACAAATTGGGTCTCTTTGATAACAACTAACAATATTTGAGTGTTTTCTGGCTTACAACCCACAGAAACCAAAAACCAAAAGCTAAACCCAATCCAACGTAACCAAATCCAAATACTTAGCCATTTTCACGCAACATCAAAATTTTTTGAACTGCTCTCACCACAACCCTGGTTCAAACAATCCTTACCCTCACCCCCCACAAACTTATTAGAAGCAACATCAACCAGGTTCTTCATATTGTAATCTTCCTTGGAATTAATAACATAATTAATCCCAGTAGGAGTGGCATTAATATGACCTGGATCAAGCTGAGAAATAGAGTCCAACCGACGTGAACCGGACTTAGAAGAAATAACCCGGTGACTCTTCATACTCTTCGCTAAATTATCAACAAAATCATTAGTAATATCATTTAAAACAGCAAAACGATTCACATTCACAAAATTACCACTCATGTTATCCTTATGATTGTCCTTATTACCCTTGCCCTTCTCTATTTTCTTTAAACTACCAGAATTCACACTTCCTTTCCCATTATGCCCCTGCATATCCAGACTGTTAGAAATATTACTAGTAGCAACATACTGCTGATTCTTTTGCTGATTCCAATGGCTAACACTCCCCCGGTTCCACTTCCTATTTTGATCTCCAGCAGTCCAACCTTTATTGCTACTATTCCAGTTCAAGTTTTGGGTTCCAGAAGAGAAATTCTGATCCCCTTTGCTATTCATGAAGACATCCTCAAGACCCATGTTCTTCCACATTTTCCTTACTTCTGACCTAATCACAGGAAACCCAATCTTCTTATCAAGCAAATAACCATACAAGGTATGCAAGAAAGGAATACTTGCCTTCTTCAAATTATCAATTGGCAGAACCACAGGCCCTTCATCAGAACCATCAGTTGAAGGGATATACTTAACTCGCAACTTTCCTTTATGAGTTCTACCATTAAGAACTCCATCATATGACAATTTATTACTAACAATATCTTTATCTATAGGATCAATAGAAATTTTTTCACCTTCATAATTAGAAGCATCCATAACTTGTCTTCCCTTATTAGCATCACCTAGAAGAGAAGGTTCCAGATTAATGATGTTGATAATAGTGGCAGCCTTCTGCAATATCAAATATTCATCAAAAATTTTTCCCAATGGGGCACAATCCTTGACCTCCCTTTCTTCCTTACTCAATTCGACATCAGAATCGGCATTTGATTCCACCACCACATTACCACTATCATCCCATTTAGAAGATTTAGATAGATAGTCAAAATCACCATCATTCACCATAGTATTCTTCTCATTCCAGTCAATCACACCTGAAACCCCCTATCCATCGTTCCATCTCTAAGACAATTAACCTCAACACCAGGTATAACAACCTTATCAGGAACATTCAAACCTTTATCTTCCTCATTCAACATCTTATCATTTCCAACATTAACATCAACAACAATTTGATCACCATTCATAGCCAACTCAGTAGAAGAATCCATATGATTAGCAATAGAAGGGCTAACAGTCATCAACGGACTCTTCACACGATTTAAATCAGAATTAGGTCTGGACATCACAACCTCATCCATAGAAATTTCCCGGTTCTTAGAAAGATTAGCAGTATTACTTGATGGAATAGAGATTCCGTGAGTGAATGATCGAAGGCAACATCTTATTAAGTTCAAGTCACTTGAAATTGAAAATGAAACCTAGTATGGGTCTTTATATCTCTTAGGTATTAATAGAATTTTATATGTTTTTTTAATGAATCCATAGTTTGGGTGAATTGTATTTTTGATGCTAAGAAATAAAAATCGAAATATGTTATATGTATGAATTGAAATACAAGTAAAATGCATACATCTTGTGTTTATGAATTTGTATCGGGGTGACAAGTGATTTTATACATGTTATTTCAGCTTATATAGACAAACATTTTGATTTTTACTCTAAACTTTATATGATTTATTTGCTAACTGATTCAAAGACTGCATTTTGGAGCACCATTTGAACAGTTGAAATTTTGACACTTGTCTAAAAAGCAACTACTGTAACAACACATGAAGTGTAACATTTATGATGTCTCATATTATTCTGTATATATTTCCCCCAGAATAAATATGACGAATGATCAGCCACAACAAGAAGTAGAACCACAACCACAGCCACAACAAGAACCAGAACCACAGCCACAGCCACAGCTACAACCGAAGAAAAAAAGAACAATCACAAGACTTATCGACCATCAAGAGCCACAAGAAGTTGATTTCAACAATATTGGTCAGTATGTTGGGAAGAAACAAATTAAGTTTGCTAACGAGTGTGGTGTTATTACGAGGTCGATGATTTCTGTTGAATATATGAGTTGGAAGAAAGTGCCAATTGCGCAAAAAGATATGTTATGATCGACAATTAAGGTTTGTTATCTACATAAGACCCATTTCAGCATGGGTCTAGGAACCATGCTCGAGATGATGTAAGCTTAGGGGTTCAACAAAATAATTATGGCTCGACTTAAACATCAGATGTTTTGGTTGCGATAAAGGTAAATGAGTGTATTTATTTTCCAGTAACATCTAGTAAATAAGTGACTTATAGTAGACTCAAATACTAGTTTTATTACAGTATTTGTGTTACAAAATGCAACATTGTAAAAATTGTTTAAGTTTACCTTAATATGATCATTTTGGTTGCATAATTGAGACAAAAGACTTTAGTTTTTTTAACTAAAATGTTTTCTTAGAAGGGTTTGAACTATAATAGGTATACTTAAAATGGTTAAAAATTCAAATATAGTTATTACATTATTATGCACTTTTTTTGTTTATTATCCTTCAAAAATCTTTTATTTTTATTTTTGTTTTACTATATGTATATAGATGCCTAGCTCTTGTGAATTGGTGTTACCTTATGGGGAGTTGGACCAAAAATGTGTCAAGGGATTGGTCTTTCCATATGGGAATGGGTTAATACACACATTGCCTTTACGAAAAAATCACCAAAAAGGTTATGATAGACGAAATCGATAGTAGATATGAAAACTTTTTGAGAAAATCACCTGATGGTTATGATAGACGACATCGACAGTAGAGGAAAGTTTTCATATCTACTATCGATGTCGTCTATCATAACCTAACCTCCAGGTGATTTTCTTGGAAAGTTTTCATATCTATTATCGATGTCGTCTATCATAACCTTTATGTGATTTTCTCGTAAAGGCAATGTGTGTATTAATCCATTCCCATATGGAAAGACCAATCCATTGACACATTTTTGGTACAACTCCCCATAAGATAACACCAATTCATAAGGGGTAGGCATCTGTACATATGTAGTAAAACAAAAATAAAAATAAAAGATCTTTGAAGGATAATAAACAAAAAAGTGCATAATAATGTAATAACTATATTTGAATTTTTAACCATTTTAAGTATATCTATTATAGTTCAAACCCTTCTAAGAAAACATTTTAGTTAAAAAACTAGAGTCTTTTGTCTCAATTATTCAACCAAAATGATGATATTAAGGTAAACTCAAACACAATTTTTACAATGTTGCATTTTCTAACACAAATATTGTAATAAAACTAGTATTTGAGCCTGCTATAAGTCACTCATTTACTAGATGTTACTGGAAAATAAATACACTCATTTACCTTTATCACATCCAAAGCATCTAATGTTGGAGTCGAGCCATAATTATTTTGTTGAACCCCTAAGCTTACATCATCTGGGGCATGGTTCGTAGACCCATGCTGTAAGTAAAAGTGTGCTTGTAGCTTTGCCAGTTGGGAGCCCATCTGATTTATCGTTGCCTGCAGTTTAACAATAGTTTCGTTTCATGTTTTTTCCTCTTTTTTTTATCAGTCCCTTGCATCCTTTTTCTCAATCCAACATCATGACCAACAGCCCTGGTACGGCTTGGGTGCTCCGGTCCTATTACCTTTGTCAATAAGTCCTCTCTTGGACTGACCAAATCTCCTTTAGAGAGTCTGGACATTAACCTGTTAACGAAAACATCAAACCAGTGAGAGTAATTACCTAGATATAAATGATTAAAAGAATTTGCTTACAAGCTTGTCCAGTATGGGTTGTATGGTAGGTGGTATTATGTTCGACCCCAACTGATTTTTAGACCATCTACCCATAACATAATGTAGTGAACACTCGCTTTTTATCTGATACAATTGGGGTGTCAATTGACCAGATGCCATCTCTTGTTCCCACTTAGCTTTCTTGCCCCTGTAACCAAGTGGTCCTACACGGGCAAGATTCTTATTATTCATTGAACTTGCCCTTGCTTTCTCACTTATCTTCTGCAAATGAAATTAATTAACACAGTTAAAACAATGCAACACAATAACTAATATAATTACGCGCAATTAAAGTCCAACACACTTGGAACTCCTCTGATGATATTCTCTGTCTAAAGCTCTGCAATGTATTTCTTTCCAAATATGAGTAGGTCTCAAGTGGATCTCTTTGGTTATCACATTTCTTTTTAAGCCTTTTCTTGAAGGCTCTCAACTGGCTGTTGAATGTTCTAAGCACATCTTTTTTACGGTTGTCATTCGGAATATTCCAACGTTTCTGTTTTTGTTTTAGAATAAGGATACTAAGTATTAATAACATATATTGCTTAGATAAAAGTACATGTAATGAGTCTTATGTAGATAACGAACCTTAATTATCGATCATAGCATATCTTTTTGAGCAATTGGCACTTTCTTCCAACTCGTATATTCAACAGAAGTCATTGACCTCGTAATAACACCACACTCGTTAGCAAACTTACTTTGTTTCTTCCTAACATACAGACCAATATTGTTGAAATCAACTTCTTGTGGCTCTTTATGGTCGATTAGTCTTGTGGCTGTTCTTTTTTTTTTTTTCCTCGGTTGTGGCTGTGGCTGTGGTTCTTGTTGTGGTTGTGGTTGTGGTTCTACTTCTTGTTGTGGCTGATCATTCGTCATATTTATTCTGGTGGAAATATATACAGAATAATATGAGACATCATAAATGTTACACTTCATGTGTTGTTACAGTAGTTGCTTTTTAGACAAGTGTCAAAATTTCAACTGTTCAAATGGTGCTCCAAAATGTAGTCTTTGAATCAGGTAGCAAATAAATCATATAAAGTTTATAGTAAAAACAAAGTGTTTGTCTATATACGCTGAAATAACATGTATAAAATCACTTGTCACCCCGATACAAATTCATAAACACAAGATGTATGCATTTTACTTGTATTTCAATTCATACATATAACATATTTCGATTTTTATTTCTTAGCATCAAAAATACAATTCACCCAAACTATGGATTCATTAAAAAAACATATAAAATTCTATTAATACCTAATAGATATAAAGACCCATACTAGGTTTCATTTTCAATTTCAAGTGACTTGAACTTAATAAGATGTTGCCTTCGATCATTCACTCACGGAATCTCTATTCCATCAGGTAATACTGCTAATCTTTCTAAGAACCGGGAAATTTCTATGGATGAGGTTGTGATGTCCAAACCTAATTCTGATTTAAAGCTTGTGAAGAGTCCGTTGACGACTGTTAGCCCTTCTATTGCTAATCATATGGATTCTTCTACTGAGTTGGCTATGAATGGTGATCAAATTGTTGTTGATGTTAATGTTGGAAATGATAAGATTTTGAATGAGGAAGATAAAGGGTTGAATGTTCCTGATAAGGTTGTTATACCTGGTGTTGAGGTTAATTGTCTTAGAGATGGAACGATGGATAGGGGGTTTCAGGTGTGATTGACTGGAATGAGAAGAATACTATGGTGAATGATGGTGATTTTGACTATCTGTCTAAATCGTTTATTTTTATATTACTTTTGTTACATTGATTGCGTTTAGGGTCATCAGAAAGCCGCTTCTTTGAAAACCGTCCCATTAGTGTTTCCAGAGCTTTGTGCAGAACTCTTTGATGGAAACAGTACATCTGGTAAACTCAGCTATGCCACATCCTAAACACCATCAGGACATGGATCATCTTCTTTCCATGGTGCACCACTACAACTTATGGACGCCCCTTCTATTAACATAGATGAGGATGATTTCTTTTCCAGTCATACTAGTGAGCATTTTACTCAGCCTCCACCTTCTGCTGATTCACCTTTTGGTAACCCCAACAAAAGGGCTAAACCCTCAACTCCTAGACCTCGAGCTCCTAGTGCCTCACCTGATCCACCTTCTTATGCCTCACCTAAAGCTTCTATTATTGTTGATGATTTAGCACCGGAGATGCAAAAAGCTCTAAACCATTTGAGTGGGTCAGGTTGGGAAACCTGGTGAGTACATAGGTTTTTCAACCCACAGTAATATAATTATTATGTTTAATAATCAAACAATTAACCCAATTACCCATCCCCGTTGTCTTCTTTACTCTTAAGGATTTACCCTAAGAATCAACTATTCCTCGTTCATTCATTCCTAAGGATCATCCTAAGGAATCGGCACAAAGTCCATCGTCACCGGGGTTTAGGCACTAAGTCTGCATAGTCGCCAGGATTTATAAAAGATGCACTAAGTCCGCATAGTCTCCAGGATTTAGGTACTAAGTCTGCATAGTCGACATGGTTTATACAACAGGCACTAAGTCCGCACAGTCGCCAGGGTTTAGGTACCAAGTCTGCATGATCGCCAGGGTTTAGGCACCAAGTGTGACAACCCGATATTTCAAGTCAATGTTATGACCTAAGTCAAATATTGTAATCTATTTTGAATTAATTAATAAATAAAAATAGCATCAGAAATGTAATGTTCAAAAGCCTCAGTTGGGATACATAAAGTAGTAGATATCGTAACAAGGTTTTCAGAAAATTAAAGAACACAAAAATCCGAGTTATAACGAAGAAGTTATGACAAATCGAAAATCCACATCAAAACCGGTAAAACACTATTAAGTGTAAAATGTGAAATTTCAATAAAATAGTTCTTAGCTTTAAGTATTTAAATGAATGTTGTAGATATCATTAAACCGTGAACGTACATAAAAAGATCGTCCAAATCTGACTTCGTATGAAGGAGTTGCGATTTTTCTAAGTTTCGGAGTAGCAGTAGACAGCTAAAAACTCGAAATAGAGATCAAGTGATATTTAGCTGACACAACCTAAACGAGAATTGAAGATCTCTAGAATAGTAGTACAACGGTAAAAAGACAGACGAAAATGGACATAAGATGAAAGAGTTATGAATTTTTAACGGTCTTTTCCTGTCCAAGACTATTAAAAATATATAATTAAAAATAAAGTCAAAATTTGCCAACGAAGTCTAAATGAAAGTTGTAGATTAAATTCTCACCTATGCGTGGATATAAAGAATGTCAAAATCTGAGCTCGTATACGAGAGATATGAATTTATGAAGTTCGGAGCACGAACTTCCACATCTGTCAAGATTCACGTCGTGAGTCAAAGGAGGTTCACGACATGAACCAGTGATAGACGTTTACCAAGAGTCGGGCTATAAGATGTCGAGTCTACGAATTGATCATAACATAATTCATGACGTGAACTCCAATTTTTCACCCTATAAATAAGATGCGAGGGTTCCGACTTGTTTTGCTAATTTACACCATTTCTCTCCAATTTTCTTACTTTCGAGCCTCTCGAAACTATCCCCACGCCCCCGTTATGTATCCAAACTCCGAAAAAGGTCCGAAGGTCCGAAACTCCCGAAACATTTACCGCTTTCCAGTCGAAGTGCTGCCCAAGAAAAGTCTTGTTTTCTTCAAATCATCACACTTACTAGGTGAGTTCATACCCCTATATTTTCACGTTTTTATTATACTTTAGGGGGAGAAATACTAGTGATACACAAGAAAAACTTATGTTAAAATACAAATCATAAACTAATGTTAAAATACAAACATTATACTTTACATGCAAAGTTGGTAATACACCAAGGTTTATCATTCAAATGAAACACACTTTTGAAAAACTATAATATGTATAGTTTACGAGATATTCATGATATTTTACACTCTATAAATACTATTGAAAGGAAATACTTACATTTACAAAAAAATGGACTTTTCATACGTAAATCTATCTGATACAAACTTTTGTGAGACATTCGACTTCACGTACCTTCAAGTACACATTTAATGTCCTGTATTATAAACCATAAGCTCTTGTGGGGAGAGCGTGATACTTGTGTATAGATCTATACGGGATTGACAATCCAGCACCATATAAACTTGCATATAAGTTTATGATTTCAGCTTATAAGTATATGATTTAAGCAAGGATTATGAATTTACCTAACATTCATAACAATTCAACACAAAAATTGATAAACCTAAATATAATTTTGAGCAAGTTTATATGCTGAATTTAACCATCTAATTTATGATCTCTATTTTTTCTTTATAGTTTATATCTTGCTTTTACTTTATGCAAATATTGAATATGCTTTCAATTTCAAGATCATGTAAAGACGTAAAGTAGTAAATTGCTTTCTAGACACTAGGCTAGGCTTAATAATTTGCATCCTATTTACATAGAAAATAATCAGACTATCATATTTATAGAATGAGTTTTTCATTTTGGTTAAGTTCCTGAACCACCGGCATAATCTTATATGGAGATTTAAGAAATGTTGAAAAAAAAAGTTTGTATTTTATTTGTTGATCATCGATTCACTGTTGTCCTCTAAAAAATCAGTAGTGGTACTCAATTGCATAAGAAATCAGAAAAAAAAATTACCTGATGTTGAAGATGATGGCAGCAAAGGTCGTGATGTTGAAGACGATGGCGGCAGCAGCAGCGGCGACCGCGCGAGGGAGGGTGAACCCCCACTGGCGACCAGAAAGGGAGGGGTAGCGGCGGCTGGAGTCGGTCTTCAGATCGATGAGAAGGGTGCCGAGAAGAAGAAGAACGAACGAACGAAGAAGGTGTGGAGCGGCGTTTTTTTTTTGTTTAGGGCGTAGGGTGTTTTTTATTTAGATGAGGTTAGAAGTGGTTAGAAGAGCCAAGCCTGCAAAAAAAACAAACTGTCGCGAACTTAAAAGTGTTGTGCGTGTGTTGCGTCATATTCTACAACCTGGTTAAGATTTCAACACTCTTTATATGTATGGAACCCTTGAGACATGTTCTACAACTTGGTTAAGATTATTTATTCTAAATAATCTTTTGTCGAAAAGTTGTTTTCGACCCTTATTATCTCTAAATTGACTAGCCCGAATCTACGGGCGTTACAATTATCTCCCCCTTAGGATGATTACGTCCTGGAATCATCAACGAAACAGGGCTCACTTGATGACTCAATACGTTATCTCTTCATCCTAAGTAATATCCGTTACTTTGATGTTTCTTCGAACGAGTATCTAACTCTAAGGTTGTGTTTATTTAAAAAAAAAGCTCTTCTAACCTCTTAGTGCTGCGTGGTGCAACACACACACAACACTTTTAAGTTCGCAACAGTTTGTTTTTTTTTTTTGCAGACTTCGGGCTCAAAAACCTCTTCCCGTCTTCTTCCCCACACATTGTTGGGCTTGGCTCTTCTAACCACTTCTAACCTCATCTAAATAAAAAAACACCCTACGCCCTAAACAAAAAAACGTTGTTCCACACCTTCTTCATTCGTTCATTCTTCTTCTTCTCGGCACCCTTCTCATCGATCTGAAGACCGACTCCAGCCGCCGCTGCCCCTCCCTCTCCGGTCGCCGGTGGCAGTTCACCCTCCCTCGCGCGGTCGCCGCTGCTGCTGCCGCCATCGTCTTCAACATCATGACCTTTGCTGCCATCATCTTCAACATCAGGTATTTTTTTTTTCTGATTTCTTATGCAATCGAGTACCATTGCTGATTTTTTAGAGGACAACAGTGAATCGGTGATCAACAAATAAAATACAAACTTTTTTTTTTCAACAATTCTTAAATCTCCATATAAGATTATGCCGGTGGTTCAGGAACTTAACCAAAATGAAAAACTCATTCAATAAATATGATAGTCTGATTATTTTCTATGTAAATAAGATGCAAATTATTAAGCCTAGCCTAGTGTCTAGAAAGCAATTTACTACTTTACGTCTTTACATGATCTTGAAATTGAAAGCATATTCAATATTTGCATAAAGTAAAAGCAAGATATAAACTATAAAGAAAAAATAGAGATCATAAATTAGATGGTTAAATTCAGCATATAAACTTGCTCAAAATTATATTTAGGTTTATGAATTTCTTTGTTGAATTGTTATGAATGTTGGGTAAATTCATAATCCTTGCTGAAATCATATACTTATATGCTGAAATTATAAAATTATATGCAAGTTTATATGGTGAAATCATAAACTTAATTACTGAATTGTTATCACTTGTATTTCTTGAATGGAGATCAAGTTTACGCTTATATGCAAGTTTGTGCTTAAATCGTTAAACTTATTTGTTGATTGGGTTGTATAATATTTGCTTATATAGTTTTTTTTTTGTTCATTCATGATGTATTATTGTTGAATATGCTAAACTTATGTTGATTATGTTGAAATATGATTAATCTTTGTAGCTAAAGTATGTATTCTATATTTTTTTTGTTATTAGCAACGGGAGATAAACATACATGGACCAATGAGCAAACAAAATACTTATTGCAATTTGCAAACTTGTATTGAAGAAGTGCAAACCGTGGGTAGAAAAGGTTTGAGTTTACACAAACAATCATGACACAATTTAGGAACAACCATTAAGGAAAAGTTTGGCGTGGATTTGAATCAACGACAATTAAAAAACGCCTATGATAACCTTAGAGCGAAATACGCAGGATGGTTATACTTAAAAACAAAACTGGAAACTTTTACAATCCATAAACAAATACTTTGAACTTAACAAATGAGGAGTGGGAGGACTTTAAAAAGGTATCTACACACACAGACACACATATTTATATGTATTTTTTTATATAGTTGCCATTTATTCTTATATTACTTTTGTTACATTGATTGCGTTTAGGGTCATCCGAAAGCCGCTTCTTAGAAAACCGTCCCATTAGCGTTTCCAGAGCTTTGTGCAGAACTCTTTGATGGAAACAGTGCATTTGGTAATCTCAGCTATGCCACATCCGAAACACCATCAGGACATGGATCATCTTCTTTCCATGGTGCACCACTACAGCCTATGGACGCCCCTTCCATTAACATAGATGAGGATGATTTCTTTTCCAGTCATACTAGTGAGCATTTTACTCAGCCTCCACCTTCTGCTGATTCACCTTCTGGTAACCCCAACAAAAGGGCTAAACCCTCAACTCCTAGACCTCGAGCTCTTAGTGCCTCACCTGATCCACCTTCTTATGCCTCACCTAAAGCGTCTATTACTGATGATGATTTAGCACTGGAGATGCAAAAAGCTCTACACCATTTGACTCAAGGGCCAACAACTCCCCAATGTTTAGAGAAACTTGAGTTGCTCGAGTTAGACCCAGTAGACCCTCTACGATTTGCTGCGTATCACATTTTTGGAGGGACCATGAATATAAGAGAGATGTGAGTAAATTTGCCTAATGATCCACAAATATTAAGAGGATGGATCGAGATGACAACTATAAGTTTAGGAGTTTTAAAGGATGGAAAGATTGTTCGTTAAGTTTATTTGTTTGAGTTATTTAGGTTTCAATTGCATGTTTTGGAACTATATAGTTATGTTTTTTGGTTATTTTCTACTTGAATGTTATTTGTAGTATTTGGTACTTGAATGTTATGTCATGTTTTTTTGGTACTTGAGATTTATGTTATGTTTTTTTGTACTTGAATCTTATGTTATATTATTATCTTATGTTATTATATGTTTTGTTGATTAATAGGTTTGTAATGGATCACGATAAAAAGATACTACTCCTTATTCTTATGTACTTGTACGTCCACTACTTTTGGAAGTGAGGTGTCAAACGAGTGCGGGACAACGATTCGGAAATGACGGGACATGAATTTACGTTAGAGTTACTTCACCGTAATCCTCTACAATGTCTTGAAGTGCTACGCATGTGCCGTGAATTATTTGTTCGGCTATGTGCTCATTTTAGAGTAAACTACGAGTTAAAGGATAGAAAACATGTGTCGGTTGAGGAGAAGATGGCTATGTTTTTATGATGATCGGTCATAACCAACGTTATGTGATTATAAAGCGGAGATTTCAACACTCAAAGCAAACAATTCATAAGTTTTTTCATGAAGTGTTAGACAAAATGTTGCTTTTCGCACATGAAATTATAGTACCAACTTCTGTTAATCCGAATCCAAACATTCCAAGACATAATAGGAGGCTACGATGGGTGTTCAAGGGAGCACTTGGTGCACTTGATGACACTTTGATACATGCTGTTGTCCCTGCAAACAAACGGGATTTATATAGAAGTAGGGGAAAAGGAGATTGTTACCAAAACGTAATGGCAATATGTGACTTCAACATGATGTTTACGTTTGTTGTGGTCGGTTGGGAAGGGATAGCACACAATTCTAGAATTTTATTAAAAGCATTAGAAAATCCACATGCACCATTCCCGCTTCCACCACCAGGTAAATTTATGGTTATTTAAATAGTTTTATCTTAGTTTGAAAAATAAATGACTTTTTTTTGCTTCTTTTTACAGATAAATATTATCTTTGTGATGCCGCCTATGCAAACATTCGAGGTTTTATGGCACCGTACCGTAATGTGAGGTATTGGCTTGGAGATTTCCGTCGAAGACGTGCATTAACGAATAAAGAAAAATTTAACCACGCGCACGCAAAACTTCGGGATGTCATTGAGCATGCTTTTGGTGTCTTGAAAGCACAATTCGCTATATTGAACAGGATTCATGGCACCATTCTCGTTGGTTACACAACGAAACATTACCCTAGCATGTTTTGCGCTTCATAATTTTATAAGAAGAGAGAGACTACATGATGAGTATTTTGCACGATATGATGAACCAAATGTCTCAATTCGGAATAATAATGCGGTCGTTGATAATGATGAAGATGAGATTCGAACACATGTACGGGATGAAATTGCCGAACAACTGATGCAAAATATGGAATGAGAATTATTCAAGTTTGTTTGTATGAATTTTATTTAAAAATGTTAGTGTAAGAGTAATTTGGTTGTTTGAATTTTATTTCAATGTTTTAAGATTACAATTATTAAACTTTTGTTATTAAAAAACTATTTTTGGTTTATTAAATTACTTTATTTTAAATTTTTTAATATATGCAGCAGCTTGCAGACGTTAAAAAAACAAACATGCTTCTCATTACAGTCTGCAGCACTTTGGTCCACCTCTTCTGCTGCAGAGGTCTGCAGAAGTGGTCCACAAACTTCAGACAGTTTCACTTCGGAAAAACAAACAACACCTAAGACTTCATGACTTCAGGCGGTGCTCAATCTTGTACTTTCTCTTTACCTCATGTTAGACTTTCAATCATGACCTTCATGTCACATTCTCGATATTTATAAGAGAATCCTTCTTTTTCGTAACAAACTTAAGATAAGTTTATTTGATTTCCATGATAGACCGATCGGTCATGTTTTAATGAACTCTCATCGTATGTTGTAATGCTCAGACTCAAGTCTCTTAGAGTCAAATTCCGGAATGGAATATACTTTCCTTCATGTTCTAATGCAATATAATCAAATTTTAACATGTATCATTTCTAGCTATCAACTTCTTTAACTAGCGTGATACTTCTATTGACCGATTCGATTATCTTTCACTTCAATCCTCTAGCTTAAGTTAGGTGCTACATCGAACTTGGTTCTCTGAACCACGTAACATACTCATCTTAGTCGGACTCAATTTGATATGACCACTAGGGTCGGAATAACAATCATCTTCTTAGTCTTTACCGAAATGATGGTAACGACATATTCGAATAAAACGGTATCAATTACTAGCTTCTTGGTAACCTTGTGACTTTCCCTGATCCAAGCGTGAGTCCTGTGCTTTCGGTAGCATAGGCCTCTACTACCATTCACACCTACTCATACTCGTCCCAAGTATTGTCTCGTAGTTTTTTAAGTCACCATACAAGAAGATCACATAACAATTTAACACACCAGATAACAAAACGAAGGTTTTATATTATTCCAACGATTACATAGGTGTTCAAGTTCACCGTAGACTATGCCTCTAACAGGCTACATCATAAGATACTATGACTACTGCATAAATCGATCTTCGGATATGAAGTCTTCATTCCTAGCGTTGTTTTCTGCTTCATCGAGGTTCATGTGGAATGCCCTTGGCCTTGGTTGTGTATCTGGCATTGTTGCCTTGTTTTTCTTCGGGCGGTCTTTAGAAACATGCCCTTCTTTATTACTGTTGGATAAGGTGTCTAAGTCCATAACTATTTCTGGTATGTAATTGACCCGAACCTACATGGTCCATTTGGGTTGCCTGGAGTCATGCATTTGGATATACTAAATGAGAGAAATAACACTTGTGGTTTATTAATATATTATAAGTTCTAATATATTAATAGTATTATTTAATTAGTATTGATCAAGAATTAATTTGGAATTAATTAAGTGATCAAAAGATAACTAATTAAATATATGGTTTGATTATGTAAATTATCCATAACTTGTATAGTGGGCTAAAAGGCTTCATGGATTATCAAGTTGAGTTAAACCCATAAGATGCTCCATTGGAGTTACAAACCCATGGGTCATGGAAATGAAGAGTCATGAAACATTAGGTTTACATGGTGTAAACCTAGATGTGACACACTATATAAGCTACATGTTCTCTACCAAAATCGGCTACACTAAGTTGCAAGAGGGCTAGGCCGATTTTTAGAGTGTTACATATTCTCTTAAAGACATTCCAAAGCATTTGGTGTTGTGTGAAGCATTTGAGGCATCACACTTGGGGTGCTAGGCTCTCAAGGTTTTCAAGGAATCAAATCAACTACAAGGTATGTAATTCTAGCCATCTTTTAGATTAAAAGTTCCCCTTGTATGCTAGATAGGATCATGAACATTGGAAATCATATTTTGCATGTATTTTAGACAAACATAGATCCAAGGTTTTCTAGGGTTGCATGTACACTTAGAAGTGTTAGAATGCTCAAAACCCATCAGTGGTATCAGAGCCTAGACTTGTTTGTTAATACTTGATGCAAAATAGTGTTTAAAATCGAATTTTTTTGCTGTCTGCATAGGGGACTCGACGAGTTGATGGACCAACTCGGCGAGTCAAGTGAACTGGAGGTTGACTTTGACCAGAATGTGGATTTTGGCCGGGGGTAAAATGGTCATATTTACCTTAAGAATAGTTATCAGTTTTTGACTAAGTGTCATTGTGGAATTATAACCGGAGAGTCGCCGGAGCAGCAGCCGAATATTTCGCACTCAAAATTTTAGCATTCAGTCACACAAGGGGAGTTTCCTTCCAGTAGGAACGGGTCTACGACCACAATGCTAACCTGTTTAGATGATAGTAGTTCCGGACTGTGGTCCGATGCCGGGGTGGTCCCGAGAAGTAGTTATGAATGCTTGATGTCTTCGTGATTTGTGTATGCATGTGATATATGTTATATGCTATGTATGTTTAGCTTATTCCAGATTTCGGTCCGATGCCGGGCGGGGCCCGATGCAGTGAGCGGGGCCCAAGTTATTCTGGACTTCGGTTTGATGCCGGGCGGGGACCGATGCATTGGGCGGGGCCCAAGTTATGCCGGACTTCGGTCCGATGTCGGGCGGGGCCCGATGCAGTGCGTAAGGCCCAATATGTTTATATGTGTTATTGTATGGTATGTGGTAGTTTGGGGGAGCTCACTAAGCTTCGTGCTTACAGTTTTTAATTTTTGTTTCAGGTACTTCCGGTAGCAAGGGGAAGAGCTCAGAGTGATCGCATGGCACACACACCACAGTACTCAGCCTGGGATTTTTTAGACTCTGATATTTTTCATGTCTTGTCACAATATTTGGGATAATGTTTTGTTACACTTGATACATGTTATTCCTTATGATTTTGGGATGATTTAAGGTTTATTATGATTTTAAAAAGAAACTTTTGGGTCATAATTTTGGTTGTTAGACATCTCGACTATCTCAACCTCTATACTCGGGCTTTGAGTCTTACTCAATCTGGCGTTACTCTGGATCGGTAACTCACCTTTCTTGGAATTCTACATGCTGAACCTATTCAACACCTTATCCAAGCAGGTACTCTGACTAAGTCCAATTAGTCTCTTACTTCTGTCTCTCAAAATCCTTATCCCTAGGATATAGGCAGCTTCACCAAGGTCCTTCATAGCGAAACACTTCCCAAGCTAGGACTTCACTTCTTGCAGAGTTGGGATGTCATTTCTTATGAGTAGTATGTCATCCACATACAATACCAAAAGCTAACTATACTCCCACTAGACTTGACATATACATAGGACTCATCTTCGCTCCTCGAAAAGCCAAACTCTTTGACTTTCTCATCGAAACAAAGATTCCATCTGCAAGGTGCTTGTTTTAATCCATAGATGGATTTCTCAAGCTTACACACTCTATTAGGT